CCAACCAACCATCCATCCATCCACCCATCAACCAACCATCCAACATCCATCCAACCATCCACCCATCCATCCATCCATCCATCCAACATCCATCCAACCATCCACCCATCCATCCATCCATCCATCCAACATCCATCCAACCATCCACCCATCCATCCATCCATCCATCCAACCATCCACCCATCCATCCATCCATCCAACATCCATCCAACCATCCATCCATCCATCCATCCATCCATCCACCCATCCATCCATCCATCATGTTAGGGTTAGCCACTGACCTGCTGTCGTCTTCTCTGCTCCTCTTCAGGTGGAACTTCTTGGACAGGTTCCTGCAGATGGACGGGGACAGCGATGGGTCGGTGAAGACGCTGAGGGCTCGGTGAATGTGGCGTGCAGGTGAACCTACCTGATCTGCTTGGCGTAGCTCAGCTCGATGTCGGCCCGCTCCTTGACGAACTTGGTGTATCGCTCCAAGAAGTCGATCCCCCAGTTGGTGTGTTTCTCCAGGTTATCAAACTGGTCCTGGAACAGCAGAAGAACGATGGTTACTGGTTCACCTGCCGTCTCACAGCTCAAGGCCGTCACAGTCATCTGACGCCATCCAGGTGAGCAGCCAGTCCTCCTAACCTGGAGTGCCTGCTGCCCCAATGGCCTGGATGGACGGCTGTGTGTGGGGACCCACTGGTCCTCACAGGACCGAAGGCTAATCCCCAGGAGCACCAGTAGGGGGTCAGAGGTTTGGGCTGGTGTACGAATCCCCACAAAGATAAATTGAAAAATGAAAAACACGTGTGTGTGTGTGTGTGTGTGTGTGTGTGTGTATGTGTGTGTGTGGGCCTGCCGGTGCAACTATATAACTGGTCTGCCTTCCTTCAGTCTCATGATGACCTTTAACCCCAACCCTTCAGTATCTGGCTGCATTCCTCGAGGTTCGGTCACCATGATGAGCTTCTAGGTGTCTCTCTGCTTCACCTGTAGATTCGGTATCAGCTGATCTATAGGTGTATCGAACTATAGGCCTGTAGATCTGAATGCAGCTGGTTTTGGTTTCAGTCTGCAGGACCAGATCTATATGCTCTTTTCTATGCTGTAAATACAAAAGACAAACAGGCCTGACATTGAAGTTAAATTCTTTTGACTAACACAAAAAACATTAAAATGGAGGAAATTCATTGCCATCCATCCTCTGATGTCATCAGGTCAGTCCAGAGTGCGACCATTTTGTTTTAAAGGGAAGTAGATTTGATAGTCATCCACATATAATTGAAGCTGCGCAGGAAGCTTTCAGTCAGAACGCAGCAGGGAACCTGAGGGTAACCCGAACCCCCCCGAGCCCCTGAACCCCATCATTATTATAAAGGCTGTGCAAGTCAGCTACATCAGAAATATTTTTGCTTTTGTGGTTTTCTCAACCCTTTGATAGAGATGCTAACGCTCTCTCGGTAAGTCAGAGGATTTCCAAAGTTTATTCTTTCTCGTTTGATCTGAATCTTTGGGGTCAGCAGAACCAGAACCGCCGGTTCATGTAGGCAGCAGATCAACGTTTTACTTCTAGTATCAGGGAACTGCAGAAGCTTTGCTGTAATCTGGTTGGCGCGGCGCGTCAAATGGTGACATTAACGATTAAATCATGTTCCTCTGATTTGATCTCCTTCCAGCAGCAGCAGGGGAACAGCGCCTCCACCTGGCGGGGAGGAGGAGCAACAGGAACAGGTGTGTTCAGCTTCAGTTGCTGATGGTCAGCCTCTGACCCCAGAGCAGCAAACAGCCGCTGCTGCCCGGGGTTTTGTCTTGCAGGCTCCCTGCTGGCATGGAAACTGCAGTCAGGTGCAGGACAGAGCTTCCAGATTATTGATTGTTGATCAGGAGATATTTCATCCCCTAAGCCCGCAGCGCCTCGCAGCGCTCCGCATCCTCCATGATGCTGCAGAGCCAGACGCTGTCGTCACCCGCCGTGTTGCTATGGCAGACAGAGGCGCGAGGGCCGCTGCCACGCGCTCAGGTGAGAACATGCACACCTACCCACAGCTCGGTGCCCCAGTTGCAGCTCATGGTTCCGATCTGCAGCAGCTCCACCTCCCGGTACCGAACCTCGTTCAGCGCGACCTGCTGCTGCTGCTGCCGGCTGCGGCGCGCATCCTCCGGACGGAGCGGACCGTCTCCCCGCGCGGCTGTCTGTGGACCCGTCTCGCTGTCCGTGGACCCGTCTCGCTGTCCGTGGACCCGTCTCGGTCTCGCGCGCGTCCTCTCAGTGGACTCTTTGTCGTCACAGAGGGATGCTGAGGCTCGGTGTGGACAAATTCACTTGTTTCAGTGTGGCGCATGCGCAGTGACGTCATTGGTGGGGCGAACCACATGAGACTCCCATGCATATCTACTCAGCTGAGTTCTGTGCAGTTCACGTCAAAGGTCTCCAGGGGTCAAGGGTCAACACCAGTCATTCATTCCAAGTCATCAGTCAGAAACAAGAAACCCGCAGAGTTATTTCCTCATCCTGACCGGCAGGGGGCGAAAAGGGGAGGGGAAAAAAATCAACCCTTTAACAAGGAGAAACCTCCAGCAGAACCGGAACCAGAACCGGGTTCATTATCAGCAGCTAGACCGACTGGAGAAAAACACAGAAAACTGATCCAGGAGCTACTAGTATAATGTTAATAAACTAAACCTTTAGTTTATTAACATTAATAAACTATAGCAGCTATTAAACTTTAACTAACTCACATTTCAGGGTTTTTACATTTTATTGCTGATTAATATTTCAGTTTTTCATGTTTTCATTCTCTGTCAGTGGAGAATCACAACAGCTTTAAAATGATAATCTGATTTATTGATTTGATCTGAATTTTAGTTGCTATGGGCTGCTGCACTCAGTGGTGCTGACATGTTTACCCATAATCCTTTGCTGTCTGATCATCTTTAAAAACCTTTGCGGTGATTTGGATTGATCGTTCTCTAAATTCTCCAAGCTTCTGCCACAGACAGATCGCTCTGTGAACTTTGACATATTTCCAAGATGGCAAAAAATACACATTAAAATCTACTAAAGTGTGTGTGTGTGTGTGTGTGTGTGTGTGTGTGTGTGTGTGTGTTGTCCTGCGATGGAACCTGTCCAGGCAACCTCCCCTTTTGCCCTTTGACCTCTGGATGAATGGATCTTTATCAGACGATGCTGCAGCAGGGCGCTCAGCCCGGTCCGGTCTGGTGCTTGGCGCCCCTATGAAGTGTTCAGGGGTCAGGGGTCAGAACGGCACCCTGCTGCTAAAAAGATCAGCTACAACAAAAGAGATTATTTTAAATGTGCAGTAAAGATATTTCTGTTGGAGATATTTGTTTTGTTATCACTTGTTGAATACAGAGAATTCAATATAATCCCTCATGTTCAGTGAAACCAAAATAATTTTAATACTTTAGTTTTGAAAACTGATTTTTTTTTTTGCAGACAGCTCCCCTGTGAACTTTGACATATTTCCAGTATGGAAGAAAATATACATTAAAATGTTCTAATAATCAATTTATCAGTCTGCGATTAGAGACATGATTTTTACCCATAAAACCATCTGTTTTATGCAGCGAAACGTTAATTTGGTATAAAGTGGAGCTAATAACAAAGATCAAGTTCAGGACAAACATACGGCATATATAAAAAAATAATAAAATGTCTGATGCTGCATTTGAAAAATAAAAAGACTAATGGAACTAAAATGTCCTTCTTCAAAGAAACTATGAATGTTGTGACTTTATTAACCAAAAATATTACAATAATTCATCAGTTTTCTCCTCTAGTCTAAGAAAACATTTGTTTAAAAATCATGACAATAAGAACCAAGCAGCTTTCTATTCCACTCCCACAAAAATCTTAAAATATTAATTTCATAATTATGTATAAAGTTTCCCTATAATGATTTCCTCCTCCAAATGAAATAATTTTATTTTACAGAGTGCTTAAACGTTGCAACATCACAAAAGTCAAATCTTTATACCAACATGTTAATGTCTTGATTTAGGATTTGAAATTTCTTGAATTTGTGACATTTTGTTTTACTTTCCTCAGTCAGTTTGTGATTATTCTTTTTATTTCTTATTTTTTCTGCTCAGTTTACCAAAACAAACTTTATGTGCCTTGTCATATTTTCCTTGAATTAAAGATGAAAAAATACAACAAAACATTGGCATGAATCCGCCTTTTAACTCAAAACGTCACATGCAGCAATGAATTGTGGGTAATGCACTTCGCCAAAGTCTGTAAAAATGGACCCAAAATGGGCGGGGCGAAGGGCGGATGTGGAGGACGCGCATCAACGAGGAGGAAAGAGGGAGGGAGGGAACCGGGACCGGGACCACTGTCCCAAGAATCTGTTGGATTCTGTTTTTCCACAGTAACACGAACCACCAGCAGAGGGCAGCACCGTTTCCTCATTGTGGCGTTACATCGTCGCCCAAGTAAAAAAGAAGATAATGCAGAAATGCGTACTCTGAAGCAGAACAAAAGGAAACTTGGCAGAAGGTGACGCTGTTCTCCAAAAATCCTCAACATGAGAAAATAGTCTAGAACATTTTTAATTCCTGGAGATTAAGAATCATCCCAGGTTCATTTAGTCCAGTTGCCAAACGTCCTCAACCGCAGCTTCATGCGATTCTGATGAAACAAAATTATTGACATTGTCTCAAAAATGAGCTCTTCATGCCCAGGAAGTGATGCGGTGGCAGCGTTTGGTCCATCTAGATCTGAATTCTGGATGTACTGACGTAGAAACGTTTCATTCACATGTCTGATTTTCCTGATTATCTGCTAGACTCTAAAGGCTTCAGGTCTGAATCTCTGAGATTCATGTTTTCATGTGCAGGATGGTTTCTGAGTTAACAAACCTGAAATAGTTCTTCCTTCCCACTGTGGCCACATGCATGTTGAGGAGGAACCAGCATCGGGTTCTGCTGGTTTGGTCCGAAACTCTAGACAACAAACGACTGGAAGAACCTCGGCAGCGAACGTCTGTCCTGAAGCCATCGCAGCAAAATAACCACACGCAACTGAAAAAACTCCAAACTTTATTTACAAACAGGAAACAAAAATCCAACTGTTTACAGACGGCAGGTGTCATGGAACGCCTCCAGGGTCCTAAAGTCCCTCCATGTTGGAGGCAGACCATCCTGCAGGAACCGGCCACAGCGCTGACACGAAGACTGGAACAGCTTGATGTAGCTGCGGAGCCACGTCTGTGGACAGAGGTGGGACAGGTGAGACAAGGTGGGACAGGTGAGACAGGTGAGACAAGTTGGGACAGGTGAGACAAGGTGGGACAGGTGAGAC